CTGTAAAAGCAATAATTTCTCCTTCTCTCTGGCGGCATTCTTGCAGCAATTGAGAACTACTGTGTGAGCTGTGATTGGTCACAGTTTGTCACATGGTACAAGGCTGTTGTGAATAGCCTTGTACCATGTGACCTTTGTGATCATTCACAGATTTCACATGTAGTAAGCAATGATGGCAGAAGTGACATCTTGCTTACTACTCTGCATGTGATCACTGATTGGCCAATCAGTGATCACATGATCGGGACCTCATAGAGAGGTCCCGTACAACGATCAGTGTTCCACTGTGTCCCAGGGAGCACGCACAAGCAGGGGGCAGGGAGGCCGTTTATAAACGGCCACCTGACCCTGCACTGCCACCGTCCGGCCGTTTATATACAACGGCCGGACGGGAGGTGGTTAAAGCCCAATTAAAAGCTCACATTTTTCATTTGTTATCCAGTCGGGCTGCACAAGTAAAAAATATGGCATTTTTTTTTCTTTGCGTAAGTGTTTTACTGTACTGAGCTGCCAAGTCCCTGCATTATGCTGGAGAGCCAGACTACTGTTTTCTCCCCTTCCTCGAAGGCTCTTGCACTATTACCAGACAAGCCATTCTGTTTCTCCTACACTGGACACTAAACCACCTTTGATGGAGGTTGTATACACCTGCATCCAGCAATAACTTCAGTTACTTAAATCCAGCATATGGAGGTTCTATAATTCAATCCTTGATCTGGTTTCCATTTCTGCTTTTCACCTTTGGTGAAAGATTGATATAAGACTTGAAATCCTTCCTTGACAGGCCTCGGTGGCACCCCCTTTGGTTGCTCTTGGGAGCAGCCAGGGCAGCATTTTTCTATGTGACCCTGTTTATGAGAATTTGGGAGATGGTGACGGTAAATACCCTTTGATTTTAAAATTGTGACGGTTTTGCTCCATCAAATGAAAAGTAAAAACTTGTGAGCTGCTACGTGAAAGGTAATTAATACTAAGTGCTAATTGTGAATCGCTTGCACCTAACACATACTCATACTAATGTGCCAACCAATACTATTTAACAAAAATGTGCCGTGCTTCACTAAGAATGCTCAAAATAAACAATATATAATGGGTGCAACCAGGTGCTGATATAGATATCAGGTGACAAAAAAAGGAAAAATAAATGTGTGAATCAATATCAATTTTCAAAACCAATGTGCATATACAAGTTGTGAACAAAAGATGAAATCCCAAAATTAATGTCCATATCCATATCAAAAGATATAAATAAATGAAAATTATATTAAAAAATCCATAAATATGTGCTTCTTCAATTTTAAATTAAAATATCCTGTGCTTCTTAATTGATTTCTTATGTTAAAAATTTGCATTTATTGTGCTCCCCCATCAGAAGTGCTCTCACCTCAGATATATGACCAAACCGTTAAGTGAGGTCATATCATGCTTGTGTCCCTTTAAATGGGCCAAAATGGATGGAATGGTGTCCTGCTATTTGGGGTCCTTCTCCACTCAAACGATAGGCTCCCTTTAAATGGGCCAAAATGGATGGGATAGTATCCTGCTGTTTGGGGTCCTTCTCCACTCAAACGATAGGCTCCCTTTAAATGGGCCAAAATGGATGGGATAGTATCCTGCTGTTTGGGGTCCTTCTCCACTCAAACGATAGGCTCCCTTTAAATGGGCCAAAATGGATGGAATGGTATCCTGCTATTTGGGGTCCTTCTCCACTCAAACGATAGGCTCCCTTTAAATTTAAATGAATGGTATCCTGCTATTTGGGGTCCTTCTCCACTCAAACGATAGGCTCCCTTTACAATGGGCCAAGAATGGATGGGATAGTATCCTGCTGTTTGGGGTCCTTCTCCTGCTCAAACGATAGGCACCCCTTCCACGGGTAATTAATATAGAGGAATAATCAAATCATAGTGTATTATCCTTTTAAAACCGTTTTATTAATAAAGTAGTGCACTCACATGTCCTCTGGATTTTTTTCAATGGTGAATATCCTAGAAAGGTTTTGCTCCATCAATCATCCTATGCAGGATATCTTGTCTTGTATCTAGGCACTTCTGAAGAAGAGATTCTATGTGTCTGTTCTATTCTATGTTACCCTACAATGGCCTGAACCCCAATTACAAAACTGTACCTAGTGTGATCATTGTTTGATGTAAAACGTTTGACCACCTTTTTCCTGTCAATGGATTTTAAATAATTTGTGCATTAATTAAATTGATGTAAATATTTTTTACATACAAAAACTTTATTGTCTTTATGTGCCTTTAAAATCCCACAAAAAAGAGGACTCATTCCATATGAACAAGTAACAAATACGGCATTTTTTTTTAACTTTGCTTAAGTGTTTTACTATACTGAGCTGCCCTGTGCCTGCATTAAGCTGGAGAGACAGAATACTGTTTTCTCCAATTCCTTGCTGTCCCATAATTTGATAAGAATTCCTTTTTTTAAAAATAATTTTTGACTTTCCTTCATTTCTCACCTAGAGGAGAATAAAGTAGCGCCTCCAAGCTATCCGTCTCCTGGTATGTACACGTCACACATCCCAGAAGCCAGTTTTACTCATGGGCAAATGTGCGCTATCCAAATTAAACCAACAAAACATTTGAATAAATTTGATTAAAACAATTATGCTCTTCTTTAAAGGGAATCTGTCACAAAATAAAAAAGATTAAGATGGAAGCAACAATCTCTAAATTATGTGCTATGCGATAGTTCTGGGGAAGTAAAGCTAAACATATTGCTCGAGACATTGCCCTGGAACTATTAAATAGTTCATTCTGGCAATGGCTTCTTCCATCACATTCCTCTCACATAGGTCTTTTGGTTTGCAAGAAAATCCTTTTTTAGCTAGCGTGTCATACAGCTAGCACAGTTGATCTTCATCCTCTTACTTGGTCTATCCGTGACATTTTGATACATTGGCCTATACTGCAGAACTTATTTCTGCTCCACTGTTAAAGGTTTTCAGTTATTTCAAGCCAACTAAAACAGAAGGTCTTTTCTCATTTTCAGCATCAATTTTCTGCCTCCTGTGACTTATTGGTGAGGTTGCTTCAGTAGACATATATCCCTCAAAGTGCAATTTTATCTGCCTTAAGCATTATGGCCAACTGCACAAAGCTTTATTGTTCCAGCACAGTTTTCGAAAGGCAAAGGCGTAATGGATCTGAAAAAGCAATTCAAGAGTTGCAAGGCAGTCACTTGTCTTCGGCAAGAGAAGTGTTCGAAATAAATTCTTGTCATGCAGTTTACTTTGCAATATTTCCTGCTGTTACTGCAAATTATAGTTTACAGACAATACAATCCGCTCTATCTGATTACAAACACCTGAATAGCTGGCACTACAATATCACGATTCCGCTTGCCCAGATCTGGTATATGGTACAAATATATATTTTGTGCACTTTGTATTATATTCCTATTGACAAATCTGAATTCCAGTGGCAGCTCAATCCAGATAGCTAAAGGTACATGTGAAATACACATTTAGGAACTGCTTTTCTTATATGTTAATATACTTACTCTTGCAATCTTACCATAGTTGCATCGTTTAAAGTGGTTGTAAAGGATGAAAGTTCTTTTTTTTTTACATAAAGAGTTTTTTATTTAGTCAATTTCAGAGACATACATAAAGCATAACAGGAAATTTCTCATGAGTACATAACTCAAAAATAGTGAAGACCACACATGGAGCTTAATGGCGCCGCTCCAAAGCCAGATCAGCAGAAAGAATCACCCCACTGCCATGGAAATGAAGGTTGCAGCGTCCTTAGTCCATTCCAGTTACTGGGATGAGATAAGGGGGAGCGGACGCCCTCTGACATGTTATGCGGGGAGAAGAAAGGGAGCAGAGGAAGAAGAAGAAAAAAAATTGGAGGGAGGAGAAAAGAGGGAGAGGGGGGAGGGAAGATGGAAGGGCAAAGGAGAAGGGTACTGACCGTCTAAAGGTTTTTTTTCTCTTAATGCATTCTCTTTATTAATCTTCTTCTGTTGTCAGCTCCCCCCTGTCCCCCAAATACTTACCTAAACCCGATCTTGGTCCAACACTGTGTGCAAGCAGTGGCACGGCTCTCTTTCTCTCCCTCCTCACTGGACACAGTGGGAGCCATTGGCTCCTGCTGCTGCTAAATCAGTGACAAGGGAGCAGGGGACGGGACTGAGACACACTGTGTGTGTCAATAGACACAACCATAGGAAGCGGCTAGTGCTAATTGATTTACATGGGGGGGGGGGGGTAACTAACATGCATCTTACTGCTTTAAGGAGAGACAACACATTTTAGAAGTTGCAGATCTGCACATTTCATACCACGTCCACACCCAATTCCTGCTCCCTGGACTGCTGGATCACTGCATTTGGTGTTGTCCACCATGAGCTTTCTGTCTCCTGTAAGACCACTTGAGTACCTTCCCCTCCCATCCATCAGGACAGGAGGTAAAATAGAGAGTTGGTTTATATGTTTGCCTAGAGATGTCCTTTTTAAAGGACACCTGTCACTTTGATGAATATAGAGCCCCTCTCTGTCCCTCTCTATGTCCCTTTGTCCATAAGGACGAAACTCCCATCAGTTGCCCCTGCAAGATCAAAAGCAGTTTTTTTCACTAAAGGAACAAGGTAAACAAATGCTGGGGCATGATTTAGAGGGAGAGAGGGAAGTTTGGAGGTTAATTTGGGTAATACCTATATAACTCCTTTAAAGTAATTATACTGTATGTCACAGGTGTATACCAAGAGGCTTAGCTAAGTTGCTTATAGGTCATTTCAATTCACATACAGTAGATCTATAACCCCTTTCCCTACAGCTTTCAGCTTATTTTTCAAGTTATTCATGTATTTGCCATTTTTAACAATTTTTAACAGTAAAGTTTTATGTTCTTGTTTGATAATGCTTTGATGGATTAACATTTTTGAAAATGGAAAATAGATAACTCTCACCATGATGTTTGTGAGTTTCTTGTGTATTGATCATTTTCTTTACAGCGTTGTGTTTCTGTTCTCAGCTTTGGCAAACAGCCGTGGAGAATTCCTTCTCAACGGAAACTTTGTGGTCAATATGTTCAAAAGGGAAATCAAAGTGGGGAACGCAGTCATTGAATACAGTGGTTCTGACCACACCATTGAAAGAATTAATTGTACCGATCGGATTGACCAAGAAATTATCATTCAGGTAATAAAGATCCTATCCTAGAAAAGTATTTTGCTGCGCCGTTTGTTAAACTTGTCCTTTTGCTATATAGAAATGGCGGATAATAGCAATTAGTATGTGCCTTGTTTTTGATGATGAAGGCTTTAGCATAATTTCAACTTTAGGAGTAAAAGCATATTTAAAGCGGTTGTAAATCTCAGACATGAAATATGAACAAAGCATATCTCTCTATAGTGTTTACTTGTCTCAGTCAAGAACACTAAGGGGTTTATTTACTAAAGCTGGAGAGTCCAAAATCAGACTCCCTTCTGCATAGAAACCAATCAGCTTCTAACCTCAGCTTGTTCAATGAAGCTTTGGCAATGAAACCTGGAAGCTGATTGGTTTCTATGCAGAAGGGAGTCTGATTTTGGACTCTCCAGCTTTAGTAAATAAACCCCTAAGTGTCATTTCTGTCTGTTGCTTTGTTCCTCTGCTATCAGAGTGGTTCCCTTCTGATTAGTTTTCCTGACACCAAGTGAAAAATGATGACAGAGGAGGGACCTCCAGCAGATTGACAGCCTCAGCTCTGTTCCTGTGTGAAGGGGGGGGGGGGGGTGTCCCTTCCCTCCAATCAGCTCTCAGAGCTCTCCTCACTTATGTAACTTCAGCTCTCCGTCCCCTGCTTTTTAGAGCTGAGAGATCCTGTGTAAATGTTGCACTTTGAGAGGATGTAGGGGAAAGATGGCTGCAGATAAACTTGTACAACTTATGTAGGAGAATTTGTTTCATCTCTGTGTATCACCCAAGGCCAGTCACTTCACTCAATATACTATATGTAAGGGATTACAACCACTTTAAAGCTGAAATTTAATCTCCTTATGTTCTGCCTTCCCTAATATTGCCTTTTCCCCTTCAGCAACATGCTAATTACATTTTTAAGTAACATTTTCTGTTTTATTACCGTATTTGCCGGCGTATAAGACGACCCCCCTACTTTTCCTGCTAAAATGTAGTGTTTGGGCTATACTCGCCGTATAAGACTACCCCTCTTCCAATGCACACCAGTGGGAGGAATAGTGCCCCATCATTGATGTCAGTGGGAGGAATAGTGCCCCATCATTGGTGTCAGTGGGAGGAATAGTGCCCCATCATTGGTGTCAGTGGGAGGAATAGTGCCCCATCATTGATGTCAGTGGGAGGAATAGTGCCCCATCATTGGTGTCAGTGGGAGGAATAGTGCCCCATCATTGGTATCAGTGGGAGGAATAGTGCCCCATCATTGGTGTCAGTGGGAGAAATAGTGCCCCATCATTGGTATCAGTGGAAGGAATAGTGCCCCATCATTGGTATCAGTGGGAGGAATAGTGCCCCATCATTGGTATCAGTGGGAGGAATAGTGCCCCATCATTGATGTCAGTGGGAGGAATAGTGCCCCATCATTGGTATTAGTGGCAGGAATAGTGCCCCATCATTGGCATTAGTGGCAGGAATAGTGCCCTATCATTAGTATCAGTGGAGGAATAGTGCTCCATCATTGGTGTCAGTGGGAGGAATAGTGCCCCATCATTGGTATCAGTGGCAGGAATAGTGCCCCATCATTGGTATCAGTGGGAGGAATAGTGCCCCATCATTGGTATCAGTGGGGGGGAATAGGTGCCCCATCATTGGTATCAGTGGCAGGAATGGTGCCCCATCATTGGTATCAGTGGCAGGAATAGTGCCCCATCATTGGTGTCAGTGGGAGGAATAGTGCCCCATCATTGGTATCAGTGGCAGGAATGGTGCCCCATCATTGGTATCAGTGGCAGGAATAGTGCCCCATCATTGGTATCAGTGGCAGGAATGGTGCCCCATCATTGGTATCAGTGGCAGGAATAGTGCCCCATCATTGGTGTCAGTGGCAGGAATGGTGCCCCATCATTGGTATCAGTGGCAGGAATAGTGCCCCATCATTGGTGTCAGTGGCAGGAATAGTGCCCCATCATTGGTGTCAGTGGAAGGAATAGTGCCCCATCATTGGTATCAGTGGCAGGAATGGTGCCCCATCATTGGTATCAGTGGCAGGAATAGTGCCCCATCATTGGTGTCAGTGGCAGGAATAGTGCCCCATCATTGATGTCAGTGAGGGGTGGAATAGTGCCCCATCATTGGTGTCAGTGGGGGGTGGAATAGTGCCCCATCATTGGTGTCAGTGGGGGGTGGAATAGTGCCCCATCGTTGGTGTCAGTGGGGGGAGGAATAGTGCCCCATCGTTGGTGTCAGTGGGAGGAATAGTGCCCCATCGTTGGTATCAGTGGGAGGAATAGTGCCCCATCATTGGTATCAGTGACACCAATGATGGGGCACTATTCCTCCCACTGAGACTTGCTGACCGATGTTCTCGTATGGTGCTGCTGCAGCCAGCATATGTGGTTGCAGCAGCACCTCTACACAGCACACTTACCTGCTGCTCCGGCACTCAATTTTCGCGGGGCCGCTCGGCTCCGCCCCCTCGCCGGTGATTGGCCGCCTGTGTGCCTTTCCTGAGCTACAGTTCTGGCGGCCAATCACCGGTGAGGAGACGGAGCCGAGCAGCCGCACGAACATCCAGTGGCCGAACTGAAGGAGACGCCGCGCTTCCTGGACCGGATCGTCGTGGGACTGGATCCAGGTAAGAGACATCAGCCCCTGCAAACCCCTGTACTTAATGCCGCAGCCCCCCTAACATGTGTACCGGCGTATAAGACGACCCCCGACTTTTGAGAAGATTTTCAAGGGTCAAAAAGTCGTCTTATACGCCGGCAAATACGGTACATATTTTATATTTGACCCAGTCGTCACTGGACCTCTGTGTTTCTCTGTGCAATGCAGGCAGGGAATGGCTGGTAGGAGGGGTCAGCAGGATGCTGTACATAGTTTCCTGAAAACATCACAGCACCCTGCTTGAGTATTCCTATCAAAAGCCTTCATCCATGATGTAGGCACTGGGCTGGCTCTTGGGAGGAATTATGCAAATATCAAAAAGTCTTTGATGGGTGGATGTCAGCCTGAAGGCGTGGACGGGCTGTATTTGCATGTTCACATGTGCTCTATGAGCTAAAATCCAATGAATAAAAGAGGTGGCCAGGGATAGTCAGGCTGGGGAGGAAAGCGCTAGAAGATGCTGGGTGCCCTTGAGTAATGAGTAAGTATTTTCAGTAATTTCTTGGCCTTTTGGCTAAGATCAAGTGTAGTATCTGTTCTTATCAGTGTCCAGTGGGGGTGCTCCCGACCATTCTAGCTTTGCGGGGATGGTTGTTGTATAGTACCCTCACTGGAATGATGGGGGTCCGGAAGGCTAGTACCGGAGGGACAGAAACCGGGGAGCGCCACGAGTTAAGCTGGGGCCCCGGGAGTAATTCCTCTGGGAAGACTGGAAAGACCCAGTACCTCCTGATTTGGACGGATCTACCTTGGTCTGGCCTGGGGCTGGGGACGCAAAAAGTCCGCAAACTTAGTGCCCCCTGGGGAAGACGCTCTCAGGGGTGTCACTAGTAACACTTGGGTGTGGGACCCCACGGAGTGAAGATGACACATGGTCACTGTTTTTCACCTCTTTTTGCACAGCGCCCTAAGGACCAGGTCTTTTGGCTAAGTCCAGGGCAATTTTTGCTACGGGCCTCAGGGCCTGGTCTGTGCACAATTCGGCACGGTACCATTTTTTTTATTTTTTTCTTTACTTTATCTTTACCTTATTTATTATGCACTCCCACGTTTTGTCACTTTTTACTTTACTTATGTGTGTGTTTTTTCACGGATGGAGGGTGTGGGTCCTCGGGCCTTACCTGAAGTCTAAGGGGAGGATGTGTGGCCCTACGGTTCCTTCCTCCCCTGATCCCTAGGGGGTTTTCTCTTCGGGAGAACCCCCTTGCCTAGTACTGGATGTCCGGCTTCGTCTGGGCATAAGGAACGGTGGTCCACCAGGCCTTTTGGTCAGGAGGACCAAATGGGAACCTTGTCCCTGTCAGGAGCTTCGTGCCCCGGGGGATCAGGCGAACGGTCCAACCCTTTCGGGGGTAGGACAAACACACCCCTAAGTGCACTTTTTCGTGTGGTGTTCGCACTTGCACATTTTTTGTGATCACTTACGGGTTTTTCGTTGTAGTTTGCACGTTTGCGGACTTAAAAAAAAAAAAAAAAAAAAAAAAAGTAAGTATTTTCAGTAATGTAAAGGAGTCTGTAAAACTGCAAGACTCAAGGTAAGGCTAGAGGTCAAGTCTACCTGTGAGTTTCTTGTCAGTTTTAATAAGCCTGCTAACAAAAAAAAATATAGGTAAAAGAATTTGAACTTGGAACATCTATGTTAGCAGCTTATGGCCATCGGTATACCCTCTTAGCCAGGTGGATAATAATGCATTTTTTCTGGTGGTCCCTATGCTCTGACTCAGTTCTTCTTCTAGTTTAGCGGTGGCGGGGGGGATGTACTGAAGATCACTTCCTTCCCCTATGCTTTGCAAAGGCCAGCGTTGTCGGTGCTTCCTATAGGCTGACAACTCTTCATCCGATGTGCCCATGCTGTAAGGAAAGGGTGGTAATGCTGCTGAAGTTTCAACAGCGATCTGACAGTGTTGTCAACCCTCCTCCAGAAATAAGTGACTATAAATGTGGCTTAAAACTGGCAGGATCAATGGGTGAGCAATGGATTCATTTCACACAGAAACAATTTTTTTTGGTCTATAACTAATGTAGCACCCTCTAGAGTGGTACTAGCATAGTGTATTGCAGGTAAAGTCATTGTGTATGACTCACGGTAACTGTGTGAGTCTGTGATTGAGGTTGGGTTATTGCAGGTCCGCTGGATGATTTAACAGGTTGTGGCTCTATCACCTCCTCCTGCCTCTGGAGGACCGTGTAACCTTCCAGAAGTCTGTAAGCAGGAGGGGGTGGAGACCTAATCTGCATGTTTATGGGAGCCTGGCCAATCCCAGGTTTGGGGGCTCTGGTAGAGTGGTGGACTGGTCCATAAATATAGGAGAGTGAGGCTGACAGAGCAGTCGAGTGGAGGATGGAGTGCTGAGGAGACTGTCAGTGCCTGGGAGAGGCCCCTTAGGTCTGGGGGGGGGCACCCCCAGACTGGGCTCCGACTGGCTAAAGAGGATACAGTGCAGTGTGAATGGGATCGAGATCTGGAGCAACAGGGAGCAAAGAGGAGAGAGTGAGTACAACAACACTCCCCTGGGATCCATAAGGGGAAAGACTGCCACATGTAGCAAGCTTTCAAAGGACAGCACTGGGCTCAATCCTTTATCCTTGTTGCAGAAGATCTTCCAAGCAGCCAGGAGGGTTGGTAGTGTCTGCAGCTACAAGAAGCTAAGCTAATTTTTGAGGGGCTGCTAGTTTCCTCGCCCATAAAGGGCTGTTGCTGCTGATCCGTAAAGACTGATGGCTTTCAAGGAAACAAACAGTCCAGGATCTGCCTTTGTACATAGGAAGGAAGTTGCCACCCCCATCCAAGTAAATTTTACCTAATAAAATAACAAAACCAATCCCATGGACTGGTTACTGTCTCCTGGATGGAAGTCTGTGTGAAAATTAACTGTTGCCTGGCTTTGCAGAGCTTAGGGGTACCAACAACACAGAGGCCCTCACAAGGGTAGCGCTACAGTAAGGCAACTCTTGTCTTCTCTACCATGCTTGATTACAGTACAATTTTACTGCACAGTGACAGTTTATTGACTTAATGGTCTAACCTTCTTTTTTTTCCTCAAGATATTATCGGTCGGCAATTTATATAACCCAGATGTCCGATATACTTTCAATATCCCTATTGAAGATAAACCTCAGCTTTTCTATTGGAACCCATATGGACCTTGGCAAGCATGCAGTAAAATCTGCCAAGGTAATGGAGCGTCAAGTCTGTTAGCGTTGGCTCTTTTATAGATATTTATGTCCCTGTCTATATCAGCTCTGCTTATGAATTATTTAGTGATCTGCCTCTATTCTTTTTACTTGTAATTCTTTTTTTTTTGGCTGTTTTCATTTTGTCATTCATATTTTTACTTCCGGATTGGTACCTGTCTTGCTAAAAGAGAACTCCAGCCCATGTACTTTGAATTTGATGAAATAATTGTCTTCAATGGAGACATTGGGGTTGATTTACTAAAAGCAAATAGACCTTGCACTTTGCAAAGTGCAGTTGCACTCTGTATGTGCAGTTGCTCCAGAGCTTAGTAAATGAGGTACAGCTTCACTTTGCAAAGAATACCCAATTATATACAGGGAAAATTTAAAAAAAACTGCATTTTTGCTTGCATGTGAATGGATGGTGGAGGTCAGCAGAGCTTTGCTCATTTACTGAGCTCTGGAGCAACTGCTCTTGCAGAGTGCAACTGTCTATTTGCCGTTAGTAAATCAACCCCATAGACAGCAATTAAAACAGTGGAAGGGTTAAAACCTGTTCCAGGTAATTCTTGCTGCCTGTGTTCCTACTGGAGAGATGTATCTTACTTCCTGTGATGGTAGTCACCAGAACAAGAGTAAAAACTCAATAGAGTTTTTAGAACAGCACCTTTCCAGTCTATCCGAAACTAGTTAAAGTTTTAATTGGATCTACATCTTAAAGTAGGCCCAAACCTAATGAATGCTATTTTATGATAGAGCACGGTACATATTAAAAAAATTGCCTTTTTTCTGTAAAATGCTTTTTTTTTACATTTTTTTTCATCTCTTTAGCATGTCAGTGCGGCTAATCTTCAACTGCTTCTTTCTGCCATTTCCTCTTTCATTGTTCCAAGGTCAGCTGCATATCATTGCTTTAGGCCAGCTTCCTGATACTGACAATGGTAGACCATGCTTGCAGAATGTGTATGTTGGCATAGTCACTGGAAGCCTTCATCAGGGCACATGTGACAGGGAGACAATGCAAGAGCACAGTTAGGAGACAATTGTCACCCTATAATAGGAAATGTTTGGACAAGGACCTTTATGGTAGGATCACCAGACATTCTTTTTAATAAAAGCTTCATATTTATTATGATTTGAAACACTTTTTGCAATTACATTAACAAAAAGCTTATATGAGATTTTAGGGAATCTTTTTAAACACTTGACGTCCGGAGGATTTACCCCCCTTCCTGACCAGGCCATTTTTTTTTTTTGCGAACATAGTGCTGAAAATATGCACTGATCACTGTACTAATGGCACTGATTGGCGTTAACATCTAGGGCAATCAAAGGGTTAAGTGTGTGCCTAGCTATGTTATTTATGTACACTAGGTTTTACTAATACTATGGGAAGTGAAAGATCGTGTTCCCAGCTTCACAGGGACACACAATCTGTCACTCCCCACATGTCAGAATAGAGCTCTGTCTTGTTTACATAGGCAGAGCTCTGTTCTTTGTCCCTGCCAGATGATCCGCAGGCTCCGTTGAACATCCGTGCACCAGTACTCGCAGATCAGCTTCTGCTGTGAGTGTTCACAGTAGAAGCGAGCCGCCCAGCAGCATTCTCGCAACCCCTATTTCAGAAGTGCAAAATCACGTATTTATACTTGATTTTGCACAGGAGGCACGCCCTATAGCAGTAAAACTGGTTAAGATCTGGGTTAAAGAGATCCTTTCACCAGACCATTCATTTTGCCAACAATATTCCTATAGGATTATATGTGTATTTAACATATTTTATGCATATTATTTACCTGCAAAAACTCTCTTGTATAGAGATTCTAAGGTCCAGAGTCCGATGATGCATGCTACCATCTTGGATATGATGTCAGCAGCCCCAGTAGAGTTGTTAATTAAGTGACACTTTATATAGGTAGGTGAGAGGAAGGGTATAGGAACTGGCCCAGGACATACAGTAAGTAGACAGTCCCAGAATTGGAGAGGGCTGTGACAAACAAGGAAGGAGGGTGGCTATGCTAGAGAAGTGATTGTCATTTTTTCTAGTAAGTCACTTTGCAAGCGAATAAAACATTACTGAAATGGAATTTCATTAAGGTTTACACCACAGAAACACAGTCTGGATGTGTTTCTGTATGCATATTTTTGACCCGTTTTTGATGGGTTCTCGTGCATTTTTTATAAGCATTTATGATGTGTTCTGCTTTATTTTTTTCCCCCTATCTTTTTCTTCAAGTTAAATAAGGACTTGTGTTCCAGTGCATTTTTGGTGTGTTTAGGTGCATTCCGGTGCGTTTTTGGTGCATTTTTGATGTGTTTTACTGCGTTCCAGTACAGTTCAGTGCAGAAAAAATGCATCATGTTCTACTTTTTTCTGGAACTGACCGCACTGGTGTGAACTATTCCATTGGAAATCATGTAACCTACTGCAATTTTGATGCAGAAAAAAAAAGCATTGGACTGCATGTGGTGTGAACTGGCCCTTAAAGTGTTACTAAACCCATAACCCTGCATTCACTATATCCATTCTTCCAAAGTACAGAGAACATGGAAATGCAATTTTAGTAAATATAAATTACTAAGTATCTTTTCTCATCAGCAGTATATAGCATTCTTGTGACTTCTATCAGTGTCCAGCTAAGCACTCACTAATCTTGTAGGAGGAGTTTTAATTCTCCTCTGACTGTCCTATAAGGCTGCATGACCCCTGACACTCTGTCTGGACAGTGCTGATTGGCCTTGTGCCGATCACATGCACCCTCCCTTAAAAAACTCTAGAAATACCCACCAAACAAAGCATGTGCAGACTTGCCACTGCTGCTCTAACTATGGCAGATGGTTTGGGGACAGTAGAGGAAGGGGAGGATCAGAGAAGACAGGATCAAACAGCCTTTTTGAAAAATGTGGAGGATCAGCCCCTTAGGTTCTACAGTGAGTGAACAAAGCATGCTGTACTGTATATACAGACTGATTTTACTGTTGTGGGTTTAGAAACACTTAAAGTGTTTTTTTAAATTGGTAACAGGGTCTCTTTAGCCAATGTCTACTGAGTCAGTATTATCTTCTCAGCATTATCAGACTGTCAGATAAGCAAACCACACTATAATTGCCAAAACCACCACCTATGCCAATAGAATACACTGTATACCATTTTATTTTCGAAGAAGAGGGTCATCCACCTAAATCTAGTGCTTCATTTTCTTTAGATGCCACCAGACAGATGCACCCTCTACTTTCTTCTGTGTTCAACTAAAATACCTTTACAAATTTACAGATCTAACTGCTTGCCTTGTTATGACATGTGTACTTCAAATGCTTGATCATGCACTTTTATATAGCAGAGAATGCAGCTGGAGGAGTGAAACTCTTCTTCCTGAAGAGGCAGAACTTTTAACACTGACAGGGAGGTCTCACTTTTGGAGGATATAGGAAGCAGACGACGGAGTCAGTGTGTTTTGTGAAATGTTTCCTATTGTTTTCAGTGAGAAATGCCGGCTGCGTACACATTAGCTCAAGCCTGACTGCATAAAGCTTTTTGATTAATGAAGAATAAGGATGATATACCCTGAGTATAGCTACACTAAAAATCTGACTTTTTATTCTTTTTTTGTTTACAAACGATTTTATTGAATAAAAGTAGACAGTAAAACAACAGCACATTTTCAAATAATATATACAGAAAAAACAAGGCACTTTTGAAAAGTACAATTCAGAAAAGTATATTATAGTAAGAAAGAGAAGAAACAGAAAAAAAGTAGATTGCAAGTACATGAAATGCGTTAATGATAAGATAGGTTGAATGATACTTCTGTCAACAGTATGGGGTTTATTTACTAAAGCTGGAGAGTGCAAAATCAGACTCCCTTCTACATAGAAACCAATCAGCTTCTAACCTCAGCTTGTTCAATGAAGCTTTGGCAATGAAACCTGGAAGCTGATTGGTTTCTATGCAGAAGTGAGTCTGACTTTGCACTCTCCAGCTTTAGTAAATAAACCCCTATATGTCAGTCATTTTTCTGACTTTTTATTCTAAAGGAAAACTGTAGGGTCAGTACTAGGCTCGTTTGTTCGAATCCCAGCCACGGAAACACCTGCCTGGAGTTTGCATGTTCTCCCTGTGCCTGCATGGGTTTCCTCCGGGTACTCCGGTTTCCTCCCACACTCCAAAGACATGCTGGTAGGTTAATTGGACCCTGTCTAAATTGCCCCTAGTATGTGTATGTATGAATGTGAGTTAGGGACCTTAGATTGTACACCCCTTTAGGGTTAGGGACTGATGTGAATGTACAATATATATGTAAAGCGCTGCGTAAATTGACGGCACTATATAAGTACCTGTAATAAAAATAATAATATTGGGTATTTTTTGAAACATTTCTTGTGAGTTTTCATCAGTTGTGTGAGATCTGAAGGCTGACCACACCAAATATATTTTTTCTCATTATGCATTGCTCATTGAGAATACTGCTGTCCAGCGGCTTAGCATAATGTTCAGTCGGAAAGTACTAATTCCTCTTGCTGCACACCATTGTTATTCTTTGGCGTTTGTTCATAAGTCTTCAGCACTGCTTTCAATTTGATGAATGGTCCGTACAGTAACATTGAGAATATGTCATATTACTCACACTGAAGATAAATAAGACCCTTTCTGCATTAGACCCTGGCGGCTTTTAAGTCCACAGGAAAATGGATTGGCGTAGATAAACGTCACCTTATCATTATGCCTGTGGGCAAATATAAATGGCCTTACGGATATATATATATATATATATATATATTATATATAAAAATATTTCAGAAACTTTTATTGCTTGCATTAAGCTGATAGATGATTACTGTGCAAAGATGGGTTTTTTATTTTTAGATAAAAGATGGAAGGGTTAGAAATCTTGTCAAGCAGCCAAACTAGAATGAGACATAAAGCCTCCAATGTGAATATTATGAATTACCCATCCTTCTGTTGCCATTGCCTGGTCCAGATTTAATTCTTTTGATCTTATTCAGCCCTGAGGAAGGGGGACCTTTGTAACCTCTGAAACGTGATGGATTTCCTTTAGCAATTCTCATTCTGGACTTTTCTAAGCACTGTGATTTTTCTAGGTTTTATCCTGTATTTATGTTTCCTTAACACTTTGTCTACCAAGGTATGTTTATAAACATCCTGGTATCCAAAAGATTAAACAAGCTCTTAGGCCAGGTGGCTGTAGAGCCGCCCAATCACTTCTACATTATGTATAAGGTGCATATCACACCCCCCCCCCCCCCCCATTTTCACCTGTGCCAGTGTACTTGATTAGCTGCAGTGGAGGGAAAAGGTGACATCAGGGGGTTTATTTACTAAAGCTGGAGAGTGCAAAATCAGACTCACTTCTGCATAGAAACCAATCAGCTTCCAGGTTGTATTGCCAAAGCTTAATTGAGCAAGCTGAAGTTAGAAGCTGATTGGTTTCTATGCAGGAGAGAGTCTGATTTTGCACTCTCCAGTTTTAGTAAATGAACCCGCAGGAGTCTAATAGACCCCTGATGTCTCCATAAAGAGGACCTTTCACCTGTCCATGCTATCACATGGATGATTTGTTAGCATTACAGTTAAATGAAAAAAATCAAATGTTTTCTTGAAAATTAGACTGTAATAAAATAAATAAAAGTAATTTAAAAAATTAAAATCACCCTCATTGCCCTTCACATGCACACAAATGCAAACAAGCGCATAGGGCACACATGTGCATGAAACAGCGTTTGTACCACACGTTAGATGTCACAACAAATATCACAGTGAGAGCAATAATTCTAGGGCCAGAATTCATGGTGAACTCCAAAATGATAACCTGTAAAGACTTTAAAATCATTGCTTAAGGACATTTTTGTGTACCATAGGTTTTTGCCATTTCATGGGTCTGTAGTTTTAAGGCTTGACATGTTTGTTAACTATTTACTCAAGGCAACCCCATCTTGTATATTTTACCAAAAATTAGTATTATATTGTGCTTTTGTGTACTAAAGTTGATTTTAGTGTATTTTTTCCTGAAAAAATGAGTTTGATAAACAGTTTGCAACATAAAAATTTGCAACAGCCTCCATTTTATTCTGCAGGGCCTCTACTTTCAGAAAAGATATTATTGTTTGGTGCTTTAACCATTTGCCGCCCGCCCTATGGCCGAATGGCGGGCGGCAAATGTCACCAGTGTTCCGGGTGGACGCCATATGGCGTCCTCCCGCACATGCGCAGATTGCGCTCCTGCAGAGCGGCGCAGCGGCGCGATCTGTCACCAGCCGTGTACCTCGGACACGGGCGATGACAGATCTGAGTATCGGCCCCGTTGCCGGTACCATGTGACCTGCTGTTACCAATCACAGCAGGTCACATGACAGTTGTATACAATGGATGGCTTCATTCATGCCATCCATTGTATACTAGTGTCTAGCTGTGAATGGTCACAGCTAATCACATGCACATGTCATGTGATTAGCTGTGGCCAAATCACAGCTAAGCACAAAAAAACCCCCCCCCAAAAAAACCCTGAATGAATCGATGTCATTCAGGTAAATGCTTGCTTATAGCAAAGTAATTCTTTGCTATAAGCAAATTGTGTAAAAAAAAAAAAAAAAAAAACTGATCACTTCCCCAAAGTAGTACAATGTTACTATGGTAACATTGTACTACTTTGGTCATAGTGAAATATGAAAAAAAATCTTAAAAAAAAGAAAAAAATGTAATAAAAAAAATAATTATATATAATAATATAATATATATATATTATTATATATATAATATATATATATTTTTTTTCATACTGTCACCAGTCAGTGTCCCTGTTCACCGCCATGCCAGTTATATGATGATGCTGTACTGCACTGGTGACAATATGTAAAAAAAAATAGTGAAACTAATTTTTTTAATTTTCCGAAAAATTATGACAAAAAAAATACAACTTCAAAAAACTCGCCATGCCTCTTATGAAGTACGTCGGACTGTCTACTCTGCAAAAAGGGGTCATTTGGGGGATATCTGTACTGTTCTGACATTCTTGGACCTCAAGAAATTAGATTGGCTGTCAGTACTTCAGGATTGATCAATATTCAGATCTATACCATAGTTTGTGAACTCTATAACTTTCCTACAAACTAAAAAATACATCCTAATTTGGGTTATTTTCACCAAAGACATGTAGCAGAATACATCTCGGCCTAAATTTATGAAGAACAATTATTTATTTGCAAACTTTTATAACAGAAACAAAGAAAAACCTTTTTTTTTTTCAAAATTTTTGGTCTTTTTTTGTTAATTTAGCAAAAAATAAAAACCCCAGTGGTGATTAAATACCACCAAAAGAAAGCTCTAATTGTGTAAAGAAAATGATAACATTTTAGTTTGGGTACAATGTTGTATGACCGCGCAATTGTCATTCAAAGTGTGAGAGCGCTGAAAACTGGCCTGGGCAGGAAGGTGTAAAATTGCCCAGTATTGAATTGTTTAAAGTAATTTTTCTAGGAAAAAATGTTATTGCGTGTGCAAAAAATGAAAAAGACAGATGGGTAAGGACCATTTACAAAACTTCTATGAAAAATTGACTGTCTACTTTGACATAAAAAGTCTCGGCTATATAAAAATATGCTGAATAATCCAGCACTCCTCACTTGAAAATATTGGGTTTTTATACCTGTCTGCATCCCCACTGGGGAGAATAACTGTCCAGGTGCCGTTGACTAGGAGGGAAAAATAGGATAAAAATTTCCCCACACTTCACCTTGTGTCTCAAGAACAGGAAGTTAAGGGAAATATCTGTAACAGCAAGGGGTATAACCATTCTCTATAGTATCTAAATATAAAACAAAAACAGTGAATGGAGTTTAACATTGGATTACAGTCTTTTTTGTGTCTTACAAGATATGTTTATGCCTGCAGGAGAAAGGAAAAGGAAGCCTATTTGTACCAGAGACTCAGAGCAATTAGTGGTCTCAGACCAAAGATGTGATCGAATTCCTCAGCCTGAGCTGGTAACTGAGCCCTGTAACACTGACTGTGAATTGAGGTAAATGTATAATAAACTACATTCAGGGCTGGATTTACATCATTGAAGTCTCTTCGCACAAACACACTTTGGCACTATAAGCCCCACCCTTTTGCTAAACCACACCCTTTATCACAATGAATATTCAGTAGCCATTCTAGTCATGATAGAAGGATATACACTGCTCAAAAAAATTAAATAAACACTTTGAAAACACATCAGATCTCAATGGGGAAAAATCTCCTGCTGGATATCTATACTGATATGGACGGGGTTATGTGTTAGGAACATAAGGATGCCCCATCGTTTGATGGAAATGAAAATGATCAACCTACAGAGGACTAAATTCAAAGACACCCCGAAAATCAAAGTGAAAAAAAGATGCAGCAGGCTAGTCCATTTTGCTGAAATTTCATTGCAGCAACTCAAAATGGTACTCAGTAGTCTGTATGGTGCCCACGTCTTTGTATGCATGCCTGACAACATTGGGGCATGCTCCTAATGAGACAATGGATGGTGTCCTGGGGTATTTCCTCCCAGATCTGGAACAGGGCATCATTGAGCTCCTGGACAGTCTGAGGTGCAACCTGGCGGCATTGGATGGACCGAAACATGATATCCCAGAGGTGTTCTATTGGATATAGGTCAGGCTAGTGTGGGGGCCATTGAATGGTATCAATTCCTTCATCCTCCAGGAACTGCCTACATACTCTCGCCACATGAGGCCGGGCATTGTCATGCACCAGGAGGAACCCAGGACCCACTGCACCAGCGTAGGGTCTGACAATGGGTCCAATGATTTCATCCTGATACCTAATGGCAGTCAGGGTGCAATTGTCTAGCCTTTAGAGGTCTGTGTGTCCCTCCATGGATATGCCTCCCCAGACCATCACTGACCCACCACCAAAACGGTCATGCTGAACGATGTTACAGGCAGCTTAATGTTCTCCATGACTTCTACAGACCCTTTCACATCTGTCACATGTGCTCAGGGAGCTGTTCTCATCTGTGGAAAGCACTGGGCACCAGTGGCAGACCTACCAATTCTGATGTTCAAATGGCAAATGCTACTCGAGCTCTATGGTGCCGGGCAGTAAGCACAGGGCCCACTAGAGGACGCCGGGCCCTCAGGCCACCCTCATGAAGTCTGTTTCTGATTGTTTGGTCAGAGATATTCACAACAGTGGCCTGCTGGAGGTCATTTTGTAGGGTTCTGGCAGTGTTTATCCTGTTCCTTCTTGCACAAAGGAGCAGATAACGGTCCAGCTGGTGAGTTAAGGACCTTCTGCAGCTCTGTCTAGCTCTCCTAGAGTAACTGCTTGTCTTCTGGAATCTTCTCCATGCTCTTGAGACTGTGCTGGGAGACACAGCAAACCTTCTGGCAATGGCACTTATTGATGTTCCATCCTGGAGGAGTTGGACTGCCTGTGCAACCTCCGTAGGGTCCAGGTATCACCTCATGTTATCAATAGTTACACTCACCCTAGCCAAACTCAAAACTAGTGAAAAACAGTCAGAAAAGATGAGTAGGGAAACAAATGTCAGTGGCCTCCACCTGTAAAACCATTCCTGTTTTGGGGATTGTCTCATTGTTGCCCATCCAGAGCACCTGTTGTTAATTTCATGAACACCAAAGCAGCTGAAACTGTTTAACAACCCCCTCTGCTACTTAACTGACCAGATCAATATCCCAGGAGTTTCATTGACTTGATGCTATACTTTGATTAATAAGTGTTCATTTAATTATTTTGAGCAGTGTATTTTATTATTCAAATCCACTGTAAAGGAAGGAAACTCAATTTGTTGAAGGCAGTGTATAGTGTTATTGCATATATTTTATTTATAAACAATTCAGAACAATAAAATAACATATAAAAATAAGTTTTCTATTTTTAAAAAGATAAATATGAAAAAATGCATATGAATATTTTTTTCTATTTACATATGCATCCAGCAGGTGGTGCTCTCAGTTGCTCTTCATGTGTTTTCCAGGCTCTACTTAGCTCCTCTGTTAAAATTATGCCTTTGTTTACAGAGCAAATAGCTAAAGCTAAAATTTACATGTCCACGTTCATCACACAATCCGGATATATCAGCCAGAGACAGATATTCAGAAAGGAAATCACTTCTCTTTAAAAAGAAAACATAGCTCTTAGTCTCTAAACTCAATCCATCTCTACCTAATAGTAAATCTAGCCCTTGATCTGTCATTATGGATATCTTTTATTGCCCATGAATCCTGGCAAAGACTAATAGTGGCTCTTTGTAGGTGGCAAGTGGCCAGAAAGAGTGAGTGCAGTGCCCAATGTGGCCCCGGCTACCGCACACTTGATTTCTACTGTACCAAATACATCAAGTCCGAGGGAAAGATGGATAAGGTAGATGACCGGTTTTGTGGCAGTCTACAAAAGCCCAACACCAAGGAGAAATGTTATGAGGATTGCAACACTGGAGGATGGAGCTACTCAGCCTGGTCAGAAGTTAGTATTGGTTGGCTGAACATCAAATGATATCCTGTAATGCATTCATTATTGATGCTATTGTTATTATTTAACAAGACGTCATCATTATGTGACAAGGAAGTTATATTACATGCAATTTATACAGTTTGTGTAATAATACTGGAAAGAACATAAAAGCCAGAAAACAAGTACAAAACGGTTTAGTTATTGCCTTTGTCTCCTAATGATAGATACAGTCATTTTCTGTTATTTCTTCTAAGTTCTTTGGAAGAGCTAAGCTTATTGAATAAATCAAATTTTTTTTTAGCTGCAATATATCAAGTTTAACTTCTGGATAACCCCTTGTTATTCCCCTCAAGCCCTTATCTACCTATTCATCTCAATTAATTTCCATGCTTTGCATGCAGTTTTCCCAACATGTTTCAATACTGCTTACACAAAAAGGCTATGCTTTAGTTCATTTTGACAAAAAATACTTAAAAAAGCACACACAAAAAATATTATTCTCCAAAAGATAGGTTCACCTTTCGCGCTATGATACATCTGTATTCATGTGACAGGTAACATGTTAGTACATCAGCAGCCCCACTCACTCCTCCCCTCCCTTCCCCCCCAATCCCCCATTGTGACAGTGGCTGGGGAACCTCTCCCTACACCCACTGTCACAATTCAAATACAGCGCAGCCGTACGGAGCTTCGCCTACCTGGCTGTGTTATTCATTTACAGGGTTCTGTGGATGAAAGAACTACAACTACTATCAGCCTTTGCGGCTGATGGCTTGTAGTTCTCAAAGAAAAACAAGTGCACTGAGTGAGTGCTCTCATAGTCCATTGATGTTGCTGGGCTTTAGTAACTGCCTGCCCGTATGGGAGGCATGGGTAGATAGCTACACTGACAGTCTGCAGGAGTTTGACCACTGCACTGCGGTCTGGTGATCGCTGCAATGCTTTACAGGCTCCTAGTAAAAAAATTAATAATAAATGCACATATTTTTTTACCTGCCAAAAAAAATCAAATATTTTTAATTTCATACAACATACACGCCGGTCGTACACAAATGTTCGGCCTGTTCGTCTGGGCCTAGACGCTGAAAGTGTCCCGAGCGCGCGCCCTGCGCTCTCCCAGCACCATGTCTGGTTCTCAAGGAAAGGTCCCGATCTCCTCTTTTGATCGGGACCTTTCCCGATCATGTGACCACCATAACGGCGAATCACAGCGGCCACATGACCCTAAAAAAACCCCGCCCCACCTCCTGGCTTCTGAAACCCTTACAGGGTTAGGAGGAGCCAGCGCCAAGGGGTTAAATTATTTAAATTATTAAAAAAAAAAACATTGCCACACTTCTTTATAAGTTTAGAAACATATTTTTGGGTCGTAAAAAGCAAGATAAGTTGAAGGATACAAATTTTATTTGTAGCGTTTGTTAAGATGGAAAATATAAGGAAATGTGAATGTAATACAACAGTGTATGCATGTTTTGTTTTATTTCACTGCCCACACATACCCTTTTGGTCTCACTCACTGCATTGGTAAATAGTATATTTGTTGGCAGTGGCTGCACCTATCAATTTAAATGTTCATCTTCCCTCACAGTGCTCTAAGAGTTGTGGCACAGGTTCGAGGAGGAGGAGAGCTGTGTGTGTAAATTCTTTCCGCGAAGTTCTGGACGACTCGAAATGTAACCACCAGGAAAAGTTAACAGAGCAACGTTGCAGCGATGTCCAGTGTCCGCAATGGAAGACAGGTGACTGGTCTGATGTAAGTGGAATACTTGGTTTACGGTGTAGTGAAATGCAAAATGACCTCAAAAGCTGCTCCATCCACATCCAGTTTTAGACTCTTACTATTATTCATCATAATGAAAAATTAAAAGTGTTACTAAACCCACAACAGTAAAATCAGTCTGTATATACAGTAAAGCATACTTGTTATACTCACTGTGGAACCTAAGGGGTTAATCCTCCGCACTGTGTAAAAAAGGCCGTTCAAACCTGCCTTCTCTGTTTCTCTCCGTTTTCAAGAGACCACCTCTTATCTCCTGATAAGACAGGCTAAACTGTAGGCATTTTGCACATGCTCAGTTTGGTGTGTATTGCTAGAGAGGTTTTGTTTTTTCTTGGGAGAGTACATGTGATCAGCACAGGGTAAATCAGCACTGGTCAGACAGAGGTTAGGGGTTTTGCATCCTCCTAGAGCAGAAAGAAAACTCCTCCTACAAACTTTAGCTAGTGCTGGGCTGAACACTGATAGAAACCACAAGACTGCTCTAACTGCTGAGGAGAAAAGGTATTTAGCGGCTGATATTTACTAAAATAATTACACTTCCATGTTCTGTATACTGTGGGAGACCAGATATAGTGAATGCAGGGTCTGGGTTTAGTAACACTTTAAGATAGACATACATGCTAAAGCAGCTCTGTTGCTAGTTTAAAATACAAAAAAATGCACTCTGTCATATCCTGAGTAAGGATAATAATGAATATTTACCTTTTATGTCACTTATAAGGATAAATATATATATAAACCTGCGCTAATAAGAACCACAATAGATAATCAATAATCAAAAATGAAAACATATAGCAGATGAACACAAAAACCCTGATACTAGAAATCAACAATAAATACATAAACGTGCAGCACTTAAAAAGTTACAAATAATCATAAAAAAAACAGTGAAAAATGTGTCAAATAAATAGTCCATCCAAAAAGAAAAGAAAAGTCCCAGAGGCTGTGATGTCACTTATGCCACCGATCTTCACTCTGTAAAAGCTGCTTCCAGATGTTTGGTCCTCTGCTGCATGATGTGGTTCTTTCTGCTAACCCCTTCGTTACCACTCTAGTGATGTAGGGATCAGCGGGTGAAACAGCAGAGCAACAGCATCCAACACACCTGGAAGTATTGGATGCTAAATAATGTTCAGCAAGCTTAGCTCAAGAGAGCAAAGATCAGTGCCATGAGAGGTGGAAATGTATTAGTGGTAGCCTCCCTGGCGGTATTCCCGAGTGTAGCTCAGGGTAAAGTTTCAGTACCACAAGCGGTAACCCCGAGCTACACTCGGGCTTACCATGCGGCTCTGCTCTGCGATCCCTCAGTCACTTACCTTGTCCTGCGCTTCCGCGATGTCCCCCCTGCAGTGTCCCCGGCAATGTCCTCCGGCCGATGCCGGCATCTGTCATCTTGGTTCCGTCCCCTGCGAGCGTCGGGACATACGGGGATGGAACGGCGGGAAATTTGAAAATGACAAAAAGTGACATTCACTAAATACACTAAAATCACATAGTATAACATTCCTGTATCAAACCATTTCACATACATTTTGTCCCGAGTGCTTTGTCCTGTGCCCTGCCTGCATTTTATACTGTTTTTTCTGCTGGAAACTGAGAAATGTCCATGGCGTCCAAACAGCGTCCCTTTAGGTCAAAATCGGTTTTAGACCAGCTAGAGATCAGCGATAGTAAATCAGAACCACTTGCAGAATTGAGTGGTAATGATTTGTGGGGAAATTCGTCATCAGACACTGAAAACGATTTTGCGACTTTGCTCAGTGATGTGCGAACTTGGCGGTATATTTAAAATGTCAGTGTTTTTGGTTTGATTATATTATTGAATTCAATTTATTATTATATTATTATTTTTTATGATTATTTATTATATTATAATTTATGATTTCGTGTTTCAAATTTTAACATACCCGGGATGTTTACTAGACTCTTGTTCGGACAGATTTCAGTGAGTTATTCCTAAGAATTACAGGCCTACAATAAAAAAAATACATATTTCCATGCAAAAAAATGTACCACGTTGAGCACAGAAATATGGACATAATCAGACCGCTAGGGAGGTTAATAAGTTATTTTCAGGGAGTGCTTTTTCATTTTTAATAGCGACGGAGTTGTTTTAACATGAAATAACATTTATATTAAGGAACATGCTAGGAAAACCCACAGGTTTCCTTTGTTCCTGCCCTTTGAGCTAGTTCACACCACATACGTTCCAGTGCTTTTTTTTCTGCATCCAAAATGCATAGAAAGTAGGTTACATGGTTTTCAATGGCATAGTTCACAGAAGTGCTTGCAGTTCCATATATATATATATATATATATATATATATATATATATATACACACACACAGCTGAAAAAAAAAAACAAAAAAAACACTGAACACACATCAGATCTCAATGGGGAAAAATCTCATGCTGGATATCTATATTGATATGGACGGGGTAATGTGTTAGGAACATACAGATGCCCCATCGTTTGATGGAAATGAAAATTATCAACCTACAGAGAACTGAATTCAAAGACACCCCAAAAATCATAGTGAAAAAAATCATGCAGCAGGCTAGTCTATTTTGCTGAAATTTTATTGCAGTAACTCAAAACGGTACTCAGTAGTTTGTATGGCCTCCATGTGCTTGTATGCATGCCTGATAATGTCGGGGCATGCTCCTAATGATACGATGGATGGTGTCCTGGGGTATTTCCTCCCAGATCTGGACCAGGGCATCACTGAGCTCCTGGACAGTCTGAGGTACAACCTGGCGATGTCGGATGAACCAAATTATGATATCCCAGAGGTGTTCTATTGGATTTAGGTCAGGCGAGCATGGGGCCATTCAATGGTATCAATTCCTTCATCCTCCAGGAACTTCCTGCATACTCTCACCACAGGATGCCGGGCATTGTCGTACACCAGGAGGAACCCAGGACCCACTGCACCAGTGTAGGGTCAGACAATGGGTCTAAGGACTTCATCCCAATACCTAATGGCAGTCAGGGTGCCATTACCTAGCCTGTAGAGATCTGTGCTTCCCCCCATAGATATGCCTCCCCAGACCATCACTGACCCACCACCAAAACGGTCACGATGAACGATGTTATAGGCAGCATAATGTTCTCCACGGCTTCTCCAGACCCTTTCACATCTGTCACATGTGCTCAGGATGAATCTGCTCTCATCTCTGAAAAGCACAGTGGCACCAGTGGCAGACCTGCCAATTCTGGTGTTCAATGGCAAATGCCAATCGAGCTCTATGGTGCCAAGCAGTGAGCACAGGGCCCACTAGAGGACATCAGGCCCTCAGTTCACCCTTATGAAGTCTCTTTCTGACTGTTTGTTCAGAGACATTCACACCAGTAGTCTGCTGGAGGTCATTCTCCCAGAGTAACTGCTTGTCTCCTGGAATCTCCTCCATGCTCTTGTGACTGTGCTGGGAGACACAACAAACGTTCTGGCAATGGTACATATTTATGTGCCATTCTGGAGGAATTGGACTGCCTGTGCAACCTCTGTAGGATCCAGGTATTGTCTCATGCTAACAACAGTGACACTACCCCTAGCCAAATGCAAAACTAGTGAAAAACAGTCAGAATAGATGAGTAGGGAAAAAATGTCAGTGGCCTCCACCTGTAAAACCATTCCTGTTTTGGGGGTCGTCTCATTATTGCCCATCTAGTGCACCTGTTGTTAATTTAATTAACACCAAAGCAGCTGAAACTGACTAACAACCCCCTCTGCTACTTAACTGATCAGATCAATATCCCAGGAGTTTAATTGACTAGCTATACTCTGATTAAAAAGTGTCCCTTTAATTTGTTTGAGCAGTGTATACACATATATATATATATATATATATATATATATATATATCTATATATCTTACAAAAAAAAACATGTCATGGTTTTTTTTGTCAAGTATATATATATATATATAATGTTTTATTATTATTTTAAAGGAGTGGGGAAGTTGCAAAGATCATTGGATGGGTGAATATGTTGGGTCAGTTGGCTAACAGGAGAAACCCTCAATGGAAACCATGACACAACTCTTCACTGAAGGGTTGGGATTGGACGGTTTCATTTTTACACATGCTGTGCTGATCTGTGATGGAAAGCCATACTCTGTAAAATGCTGCAAACTTTTCTAGAAATATAACTGAGAATGTTAATTAGGTGTTTGAATGACATATCAGGTCTTTCTTGCAGTGCCTTGTGACTTGTGGGAAGGGACATAAACACCGGCAGACATGGTGTCAATTTGGTGAAACGCTAGTAAATGACCGAGTCTGCGATCCAGAGACAAAGCCGATTTCGGTTCAATCTTGCCAGCAACAAGAATGTGCATCATGGCAGGTTGGACCATGGGGACAGGTATGCTGTTTTATTTATTGTACATGTTTTGTTGATTCTTGTGTTCTTGGATATGTTATATACGTTTTCTGTGCCTATAAAGTCATCTTCAGCATAGGTGTTACCTAAAACAGTTTTGCCTCCCAAATGATTTGTAATAGTGCTCAGCCAGTCTTATTATTCACGTATTTAGAGCCCCAAACAAAAGGTTTAAGAGTCCAAGAGCTTTTTATATTGATAATGGTTCACAAAACAACACAGAACAGCCAGCGCTTTTCAGTGGCTCAAAGACCACCCCCTTCTTCAGGGCTTAAGCATCTGAATGATTAAGTGAATTAAAGCATGGTACAAGGAGTTCATTGATTGCTGTTTGAAGTTTGGGCATTACAAGGATTTGCGGATAAGGTACCATAGCAGAATAGCAAGATCCCGGATCCCTCTGTGGGCAGCACTCCTGGTCAAAGACCAGGCCCAAGCTGCTCGACCTCCAAATTAAGATATTGCTTACTGAATCAAGACCTGACTGCTAGGTTGGTTTGCAACCCCTGGCGTTGGGTCTATATAATTTTTTTTCCCAGAAAGGTTTGTTGTTCCTGTGAAATTGCATTAAGATTTTTTTATGTGGGCAGTTTATGTTTATGACACTGCTTGCCAAAGTTCTTCTTTATCTCGATAAGCAGCAAACAGGAAGTTCATAGGTATGAATGTACTATGGAAATTTCCTTGCTGTCTTGAATGCTGGGATAGATAAACAGCAACAGAAGGAGTACAATTTCTTCAATGGAGAAAGTGCTACCCCGAGCTCCCTCCAGTGCTATTCGCATAACCAAATGCCTTGGCATTGGGTCCTACGATCCCCTGTGATCAAATCTGTCTATTTTTCAGTTTAACATTTAAAGTGTAAAGCTAGCTATACACTGATTGAAATTCAGCTGGTTCAGCAGGGTCTGGCCAAATTTCGATCAGGGTGTGGCTGTCCATCTCTTCCAGACATGCTGGAAATGTTTCCTCATTCAGTAGTAGCAGCCAACCAGCTGCAGCCGCTGATCAGTGTATGTGTATTTTTTGTATGTGTTGCTCAGAGTTCCCCTTACTTCTTGTCTGATAAAAAGTTGTTAGCAAGACAGGAAGTTAAAGCCGATCTCCACCCAAAAGAGGAAGCTCTGCTTGTTTGCACCCTCCACGTTTTGGAGGGGAGGGGGGAGCCGGTACCTGGTTTTGACAGGTATCCGCTCCCACTTTTGGCACCCCTCCTTCCCCCCATAGTCTTCTGGGACATGTCACAGGTCGCAGAAGACCAATCACAAGGCACAGCACGTCTCGCCCATGCGCAGTGAAGCCGCAAGGTGCCGAGAACCTGGAGGCTAATGAAGAACTAGCTCTGGTGACAACGGTGCTGGACCCTTGGACAGGTAAGTGTGCTGCTGACTTTTTTTGGGGGGAACCTTTATAGCAGTAAAAAAACAGACAGGGGTTCTAGCCCTTCTGTACTCTGTACAAAGAAAAAAAAAATTGACTCAATATATTTTTTTAAGTATTAGTCCAGCTTAATATAAAGCTGAATTGAATAAGTCAGGTATTGCATATCTGTGATCAAATGCATTAGTAACTGAGCATTTCACAGTAGCGCACCACCTTATGGCTAAAAAGGTGAGATATTCTAGTTTGAATAATTGTTTGCATTCTGTGCTTGTTACTTTAGCGGATTTAAGATCTAGTTGGTATCTCGGCAGTAATTCCTTGTATAAGGATTAATGTTTTAAGAAGAAAAATCGAATTTACTTCTGAAATCCTCATACCATTGGACATTCTTAACTTTTACTTGGAGAGTCAGCAAATGAAGCATGTTTAATCCCAGCCAGTAGGTTAGCAAGCTGACCTATATTTCAAATGGAATGATTCAAATACTTAAAGGAACACTGCATTTTAACCCTGTTTTCTGCAGTCTTGCTCTTGCTGTTTCCAAAATCACCTTAGTGGAAGATTCTTCTGTGAGAAGCCATTAGCCTTGCTGCCTCTGCCTTGTTAGAAATGTTTAATGGTGCATTGCTTCAGTAACTGGCCTTATTCTATAGCACTTCAGGGACAAACATTAGAGAATGGGAGGAATGTATGGGCATGCAGAGCACGACAGAGACCTGTCCACAGTTTATTTCATGCTGAACTCCAGGCAAATAGAAAAATGTGCAGTTGAAGTACACATACGGAAGCTGTCTTACCTGCTAAAGGATTTTTTAATCCTGTCCATCCGGTTTTGACATTATGCAGCTCTGTCACACAGCACAATCTTTCCTGACAGGGCAAGAGACCAAATTTTCCTACAGTTAAATAACATTTACAGGTCTTCCCCCTATTCCCTGTCCATGACTACGCAGTCAATGAAGAAGCAGCAGACTAATGAGCCAATTTCTCTGTCACTCTGTTTTCTCCTGCTGTCAGAATGTCCTGTGTTAGCACATGAGCACTGCTGCACAACTGAATGGCTCCTTGTGCTGCTTCTTCTACTTCCAGTCTAAGTTTTGCTGTACAGTGGATTTTAAGAGGTACTCACTGCTTAAATTTATAAAATACATTAAAATGATGTATTTATGAATACAGTATATTTTATATCTGCCTAGAATTTAGGTTTTTTTTTGTACTTTGCTATTAGTAGAGGGGCATAATGTGAAGCTGCAACAGACCTTTGATGAGAGTTCCGTTTAGATTATTTATATCTGTAGTATAGATATTTGGGGTTTTAAATTGTAATGTGGAATGTAAGGTGCAATTGCTCTTTGAAGAACATAAAAGCAGAGGTGTATTTTGCCACAAGGCAAACAAGGTGTTTGCCTAGGGCAGCATTTTTCAGGGGGGGGTTTGGTGCCACCCCCCATCAGAAGAGTTACACGTGGAAGCTGTTGACTGAGGATGGGGACCAGGTGAGGCACAGCAGTGTGGGCTGCGGGCTGCTTTGGGCTCCTGAAGGGTGTCCAACTGTCATTCTTGGATCATTTTCAGAGATAGGCACAGCAGTGCGGGCTGCAAGCTGTGGGCTGCTGAGGGGTGTCCGACTAGGTTCCCAGATCAATCATTGTCAGAGATCAGTGCAGAAGGAAGAGCTCGGGCTTTCCTGATCACGGCTGCCAGGGTGGATGGCGGGTGAGTGCTGGAATCTTCCTCTCTCCCCCCCCCCTTCCCCGCTCCACATAGGGTGGGGGGCATGATTGTACTCTTGCCTAGGGCAGCACACAACCAAAATACACTTCATAGGTCATATTTTTTTTTTTAAAGCTGAACTGATTAATGCAGCTCTGTAATTATTAATACATCAATAAAAGTATTTTGTAATTTCAAGCAGTGTAAGTACCTGAATTTCACATTATATCAGCCTCTTGTAGTCACTGAACTATATAAAGTCGGGCTGGAGTGTGGGAGGAAGAAGCGGTACAAGGAACTAAGGAGCTCCATTCATGTGCATGCTGATTGGAGCAGAAAGCTGAGTGACAGAGATGGGCTCATCACTGTGCTGCTTCTCCTTTCACTGTCCAGTCACTGGATGACTTGGACTCAGAGAAAGCTGACTGAATGATGCTGATCAGACTGAGAACATCTAGTGGCATAATATCAAGTATTACATTCCATTGAATGTAAAGTCATTATCCTAACAGTATTTATTTTCATAGTGTACAGCGGCGTGTGGCACAGGTTATCAGATGAGAGCTGTGAAATGCGTTGTCGGTGCTTATGGGGCTGTGGTGGATGACAGCGAATGCAATGCAGCCACTCGACCTACTGACACTCAGGTGAGAGCCCTACATTGGCACATAGCTTCTTCATGCTTCCATTAATCTGTGAATTAAAAAAAACAAGAGTGTAACAGTGTCAATAGACATTAGAAGACCATCTCCAATCTAGTCATTTGTGGCAAACTACGGCCCGCGGGCCGTATACGGCCCGGCGGACCTTTTAATCCGGCCCGCGGAGCTAGGCTCCTCTCACAGTCCGCCCTGAAGACCGGTGTAGCATGAAAATCTGTCTCCTATGAGGATCTGTACCCCTCGACGTATCTGCGCATGTGCCGGAGATCGCCGATCGGCTTCTCATGCCTGAAACTGGCACATACGCAGATACGTCGAGGGGGACAGACGGCGCGGGAACATGGCGAGAGGAACGCGCGGAGCGAATTACTATGGGGGATGAATTACTATATGGGGGATGAATTACTATATGGGGGATGAATTACTATATTTGGGATGAATTACTATATGGGGGATGAATTACTATATGGGGGATGAATTACTATGGGGGGGATGAATTACTATGGGGGGGATGAAATTACTATGGGGGATGAATTACTATATGGGGGATGAATTACTATGGGGGATGAATTACTATATGGGGGATGAATTACTATGGGGGATGAATTACTATATGGGGGATGAATTACTATATGGGGGATGAATTACTATGGGGGATTAATTACTATATGGGGGATTAATTACTATGGGGGATGAATTACTATATGGGGGATGAATTACTATGGGGGATGAATTACTATATGGGGGATGAATTACTATGGGGGGATGAATTACTATAGGGGGGATGAATTACTATATGGGGGATGAATTACTATGGGGGATGAATTACTATAGGGGGGATGAATTACTATAGGGGGGGATGAATTACTATGGGGGATGAATTACTATATGGGGGATGAATTACTATATGGGGATGAATTACTATGGGGATGAATTACTATATGGGGGATGAATTACTATGGGGGATGAATTACTATATGGGGGATGAATTACTATAGGGGGGATGAATTACTATGGGGGATGAATTACTATATGGGGGATGAATTACTATATGGGGGATGAATTACTATATGGGGGATGAATTACTATGGGGGATGAATTACTATATGGGGGATGAATTACTATATGGGGGATGAATTACTATGGGGGATGAAATTACTATATGGGGGATGAATTACTATGGGGGATGAATTACTATATGGGGGGATGAATTACTATGGGGGATGAATTACTATATGGGGGATGAATTACTATGGGGGATGAATTACTATGGGGGATGAATTACTATAAGGGGATGAATTACTATGGGGGATGAATTACTATAGGGGGGATGAATTGCTATAGGGGGGATGAATTACTATGGGGGATGAATTACTATATGGGGGATGAAATTACTATGGGGGATGAATTACTATAGGGGGGATGAATTACTATAGGGGGGATGAATTACTATGGGGGATGAATTACTACAGTGGGGATCGAAAGTTTGGGCACCCAGCTAAAAAATTGTATTAATGTGCATAAAGAAGCCAAGGAAAGATGGAAAAATCTCCAAAAGGCATCAAACTACAGATTAGACATTCTTATAATATGTCAACAAAAGTTAGATTTTATTTCCATCATTTACACTTTCAAAATAACATAAAACAAAAAAATGGCGTCTGCAAAGTTTGGGCACCCTGCAGAATTTATAGCATGCACTGCCGCCCCCTTTGCAAAGCTGAGACCTGCCAGTGTCATGGATTGTTCTCCATCATCGTCTGGGCAGACCAGGTGATGTCAATCTCAAAGGTTTTAAATGCCCAGACTCATCTGACCTTGCCCCAACAATCAGCACCATGGGTTCTTCTAAGCAGTTGTCTAGAAAACTGAAACTGAAAATAGTTGACACTCACAAAGCTGGAGAAGGCTATAAGAAGATAGCAAAGCGTTTTCAGATTCAATATCCTCTGTTCGGAATGTAATTAAGAAATGGCAGTCATCAGGAACAGTGGAAGTTAAAGCAAGATCTGGAAGACCAAGAAAAATATCAGACAGAACAGCTCGCAGGATTGTGAGAAAAACAATTCAAAACCCACGTTTGACTGCACGATCCCTCCAGAAAAGATCTGGCAGACACTGGAGTTGTGGTACACTATTCCACTATAAAGAGATACTTGTACAAATATGGTTTTTTCATGGAAGAGTCATCAGAAGAAAACTTCTTCTACGTCCTCACCACAAAAATCATCGTTTGAACTTTGCAAATGAACATATAGACAAGCCTGATGCATTTTGAAAACAAGTTCTGTGGACCGATGAGGTTAAAATTGAACTTTTTGTCCGGAATGAGCAAAGGTAATGTTTGGAGAAGAAGGGGCACAGAATTGAATGAAAAGAACCTCTGTCCAACTGTTAAGCATGGGGTTGGATCAATCATGCTTTGGGGTTGTGTTGCAGCCAGTGGCACAGGGAACATCTCACGAGTAGAAGGAAAAATGGATTCAATAAAATTTCAGCAAATTTTGGATAGTAACTTGATGCCATCTGTGTGAAAAAGCTGAAGTTAAAGAGAGGATGGCTTCTACAAATGGATAATGATCCTAAACACACCTGGATATCCAGGGGGATTACATCAAGAGGCATAAACTGAAGGTTTTGCCATGGCCTTCACAATCTCCTGACCTCAACATAATTGAAAATCTATGGATAGACCTTAAAAGAGCAGTGCGTGACAGACAGCCCAGAAATCTCAAAGAACTGGAAGACTTTTGTAAGGAAGAATGGGCAAAGATACCTCAAACAAGAATTGAAAGACTCTTGGCTGGCTACAAAAAGCGTTTACAAGCTGTGATACTTGGCAAAGGGGGCAGTACAAGATATTAACTCTGCAGGGTGCCCAAACTTTTGCAGACGCCATTTTTTTGTTTTCTGTTATTTTGAAAGTGTAAATGATGGAAATAAAATCTAACTTTTGTTGACATATTATAAGAATGTCTAATCTGTAATTTGATGCCTTTTGGAGATTTTTCCATCTTTCCTTGGCTTCTTTATGCACATTAATACAAATTTTTAGCTGGGGTGCCCAAACTTTCGATCCCCACTGTATATGGGGGGGGATGAATTACTATGGGGGGATGAATTTACTATATGGGGGATGAATTACTATATGGGGGATGAATTACTATATGGGGGATGAATTAATATGGGGGATGAATTACTATATGGGGATGAATTACTATGGGGGATGAATTACTATATGGGGGATGAATTAATATGGGGGATGAATTACTATATGGGGGATGAATTACTATGGGGGATGAATTACTATATGGGGGATTAATTACTATGCTTACTATGGGGGGAATATTACTATACTTACTATGGATGACACATACAACATTCATTCATCTACTCTTGGTCCGGCCCCCGGGTCCAATATATGAACCCATTGCGGCCCTCAAGTCAAAAAGTTTGCCCACCCCTGGTCTAAACCCTGTGTTTGCTCTGTCATGGGGTTACACAGGGTAATAACCTTCAACCCCCTTTCCCCATTTGACAGTGTTAGGCGACTCAGACCTGAGCTTTGTATTCTTGGAGAAAGGAGAGAAAGTCACATGCTCCTTCATACCCAGAAGTACCAGGTATTTCTGAGGGCTACAGCAGACAAATGGAGAAGCAGGAAATCACCACTGGTAAAGTATCAGTGGGTGAGTGGGTGGGTGAGTGGGATTTCTAGAGAAAATGTCACTTTGCCCTCAAAGTTAAAAAAACAGATGAGTATTGTAAGAGCAATGGATCCCCTTAGTGGACCTATGAGTGATTATGCATATGAGGGTTCTATTTTGTAAAGGTCTGCGCAATTGTTGGCACTGTATAAATCCTATATAATAATAAGGGCACTGAATCAATCTGTTTAGCACTCTCATTTTTGCAGATCCTTAATAGGCAAAGTGCTAGATTCTCTTTAAAGAGGAATTTCAGTTATGGCTATTTTACTTGGTTAAACTGGTCCAGCTTGAACCAGTGTAACTATGTATATGCCATACCTGGCCCATACCCCTTGAAAATGGAAATCGTTCTTGTAGGTACTACTACTACAGTGATTATCACTTGCTTCCCATGCTGAGTGGATGCCCTGCTGCATTGTGAACGCAGGAGGTCACCTCGTTGGCATGGGCACCATTCAGAGGACGTTGTCTAGTTTCTGGATGAAAGCAAACATTCTCTAATTGGATGAGGTGGAGATCATGACATCACCACCCCACCTCTCCACCTTGTTGGATTATAGAAAGCTTTGCAATCATTAAGAAATTGAGAATCATCATTGAGAAAGGATTGGGTGGTCTCCTGTGTTCAGTAAGCAGCAGGGCAGCCAATCGGCACAGGACACAGAAGCAAGTAGAGATCACCGGAGTAGAGGTGCTTACTACAGTGATTTCCAGCTTCCACGGGAATCAACCAGACCAAGTATGGTATACACATAGTTACCTTGGTCCAAGATGGACCAATGTAAATTTGTAAAAATATCCATACCTGAAATTCTTTTTTTTTTTAGGATTCCTTGACTAATCATCTTAGGAGTCAATGGCCTGATAAATCAATATTCTAATAAGGCTTGGTAGAAACTGGAGAAGTTCTGTGATATTGGTATGTGTAGTAGCATTCATTTTGTAAAGCACTGTGCAAACTGTTGGCGCTGTATAAATCCTGTATAATAATAATCCCTAAATCTGGTCCCGTTTTATATACTAAATGCTAGTCACTAACAACAGTAAATCCTTTAATATTGCTCTCCTTAGCAACAAGTTCAAAAAGTCATTAATTATGGAAAGGAAACCACCTAATAAACCAAACTGCCTTTGACAGGACTGTGAAACAGCTGCATGCCCAGGCATTCCTGAAACCAAGCAGATTGCCCACAGCAAGACACAGTGGAGATTTGGATCGTGGACACCTGTAAGTGCACTTTGCTCATATGACTTCCTCCTTCTTCGTTTCTGCTCATTGCACTCTGCTCCAGTTCTTAGCTCTGAAATGCGTCAGTTTCTCTCTGTTTACGGATGAGCGGTGCTTACATTTTATTATATAAACAAAATGACTTATTTTCCGATTCCCTGCTCAGTTTCACCAGAGCGCTGCCCCGGGGTCATGTGATGGTTGTTTAAATCTTGCTGGATGGATTTGACCTTATAAAAGGAAAATTCTAGGTTAATTGCCATACCAGCCCCCCATCCTCCACCTTCTTCCAAGCTAGGTGGCTGATCTGTATTTATTTCATATTTTGAGAACACTAAGCAAAACAAAATGTTTTAAAATTATAGGGTGACAAACTATTTTATACTGCATTCTGAATTTTTAAATTTTGTTAAATAATTAGCTATACAAAGCTTTGGATCAGGTAGCTCCCTGCTACTGAATATTATATATACCAGCTAGCAACTGCATGCAATGTAGTTGGGTCTAGCTTTGGGTCTCAACCCCCCGCCCAACCCACACACAAACACTTAACATTTGGTTGACAGTTGTTGCTTTGGATGGGTTGGGAAAAGGTTAAAACTTACTGTATGTCAGGATTTTATTTGTGACCCTATTTTAGATATTTACCTTCTTTTTGTTCTGTTGACAACAATATTTCTGTGCAATCCGTATATATAATATATATATAATATATATTGTATAATATAATGATATTATATATATATATATATATCCGTATATATAATCCAACAACAATATTTCTGTGCAATTCAATTTTATTGAAATATCATTTGAAACAATCATTTAAGGTTTTTACTGCCTTCTCTGTCCCCAATAAAGGTCTGCAATGCCTGGTGACACTGTTGTCTTTGATTGGTTGTTTGTGTAGTAGAGTAGTATCAGTGAATTGTTTATTAAATGATCAAACCTGTTACCAAGTGACTTTAAAGCGCATGACTGAACATAAATAAAAAAACAAACCTATTCAGTACATCTCTGTAATACATGTGCATTTCCCCATCGTTTGTCTCTTTAAACACATTGTAAGTACAGAAAAACACACATTGATCCTGTCAGAAATCCAATGTGGACCCATCCAGCTTTGACCAATGTAGTTGTGCCCTTGCCATACTTGTGGGATTCTGTGGAAGCTGGAAATCATGGTAGCAGGCACTGCTACTACAGTGGTCACCACTAGTTTCCAGGTACTGTGCTGAGCGGCTGCCTGGCTGCATTGTGAACACAGAAGGTCTCTTGTCAACACGATGACAATTCAGAGAACACTTTGCATTTTCCTAATGAATGCAAAACGCTCTCTGATTGGATGGGGTGGAAAGACAGGGCCATGATATTGCTTTCCATTCCATGCTTTCCATTAATTTAAAAGATGCAAAGTGATTTCTGAATGGCATCCAGGTCTAGTGAGAGGTGATATATAATCACAAAGCAGCAGAACAGATGCTCAGCATGGGTCCTGGAAGCTAATGGTGATCACTGTAAGTCAAGGATATCGCCAAGACATGGCACATGCATAGTTACATTGGTCCCAAATAGCCGTAGCTGGAATTCAACTTTAAAGAAACAAATCCTGGGAAATGTTGCATGTATTGCCAAGATGTACTAAATGTTTCTTTTTTCTTGCCTTGACATACCCTTTAAAGCAGACCACACATGGTATTATCAGGTCATCTGGCACTTCTAGTACTTAGCTCTGTAACTATTCATTGGTGGCCAGGTCTCACCAACAAGGATGCTTGGCACATGGTCCATTATGGGCAGCACAAAACAAGCAGTGTTAGTAGAAGCACACAATGTATTTCTCTGTGTGGCATATACTTTAAGCAGATTCAAGCGGTTTCCTTTTTACGGATCTTTTTCATGTTTTCCAGTGCTCAGCAACTTGTGGAAAGGGGACTAGGATGAGGTATGTCAGTTGCCGTGATGATCAAGGATCAGTAGCAGATGAATCAGCCTGTTTCACACCTTCCAAAGCCATCCGCCACTGAAGTATGTACAGTGACCCTTGCGGACAATGGAAAGCAATGGAGTGGAGTTCTGTAAGTCTGCATCCTCAAATGATACAGTACAGTAATGCTAAAGTGAAAGCATAAAGCAAACCTGTCATGAGAAAAATACATAGCCTGGCGTTACTGACCACCATCTCAGAATACTAGTTTCCTGCCTGTCCTGGAAGAACTTACATTTAAATTAATAGAATGTTTTAATAGTACGCATGCGGTTTTATCACCTTCTGTCATCATGTTTACAGTTATTTTTTTCCAATTGCAGTGTTCTGTGACTTGTGGGCAGGGGAAGGCAATGCGCCAAGTTGTTTGCATGGATTTCCTTGGTCAAACAGTTGAACAAAATGAATGTGACCCAGAGGACATTCCATCTGCTGAACAGGAGTGCTCTATGTCCCCTTGTCACTATGTCAACCATGACTATGGGAGACCCATTCATTATCTCCCAAATGTGGACCAGAGAATACGATCTAACCCAACCCTGGCCATTCTCAACAGGAACAGCGGCCGTTCTCTAGGGCCTGGTGGAAATCAGTGGAGAATTGGACCATGGGGAGCAGTAAGTTATAATTCATTTTTATGTATACCATTTGGCCAAACGTTTTTGGACATCTGACCATCACAACCCCTATAAGCACAAAAGTATGTGGACATCCCTTCCAATTTATTGAGTTCTGGTGTTTACAGTGAGGGATACTATTAATGCTACATCATACAAAGAAAATCATTTAGACTTACAATAGACAATTACGCACTTCCATTTTTGTGGCAACAGTCTAGTGAAGGCTCCTTTTGTTCTACCGTGACTGTGCCCCTGTGAAAAAAGCTAGCCCCATAAAGACACAATTTAACCAGTTTTGTGTAGAGCCCTACTTAACACCTCTGGGAAGAACATGGAATGCTGATGGTAAGTCAGGTTTTCTCATCCAACATCATTACCTGGGTTTACAAATGCTTTTTTGGCTTCATGCGCACAAAGTTCTATAGACACACTCCAAAATCCTATGGAAAGCCTTTCCAGAAGAGTGATGGCAGTTATAGCCTCAAAGGGGGGGGGGGGGGGGGGGGCAACTCCCTTTAAATGCCCATGAAATTTGAATGGGATGTCCAATAAGCTCAATATAGATATGATAGGCAGATGTCTGCAAAATATTGGCAGAGTTCGATCAGTACATCAGAAACACACCAGTGAGGAAATAAATTGTATATCTCTCAGGATTAAGCATGATGTTGTGCAGAAATTTGGATAAGATTCAACGCGTTTGAGAGTGTTACATGCTAGACTGTATATTAGCCTCTTTCTCACATCATAGCAAGTTGATAAATGTGTAAATTGGTTATATTCCAAGATTTAATCAGCTCCTCATTTTATTATAATGATTTGGTTTTCAAACTAGAGTTCTTTAAAGCCCACCTCCAGCCTGAACCTTTCATTATGTTTTGGATATAATGAAGTAAGGTTGATACCTCTGTCTAATTGTATTGCCGTCTTTGTTTTGGAGATTTATAACACCTTCTGTCAGGGCAGGAAGTGATGTGAATTCTTTCCAACAGTGAAGCAGGCATTTTTAAAATTTATATTTTACCAATTTTACACTTAAAATTAAAAAAAAAAGAGCTAGTGACAGGATACACCTTATTGCAGAGCTGCAGTAAATCCCTAAACATATCTTGAGATAAATTAACTGTTTGTTGTGTTGTGCTGACAGTTTTCTCTATATATATCCTAAAGTAGAACTAAAGGCAAAATTTTGTTTTTCATGTTGGATAGAGTAAGGGAGAGTTCTAAGCCCTGGCAGATTTTTTTGCCATCTGCAACCCATTGAGGAGATTTCCTTTTACTCGCTGTCCCATAGTCAAAGCATGAAGTGAGAAGTATCCATCCAGGAAAAGGGAATCCCTGATTGTCAGCGGAGTCACTAGAACTAGTGTGCTTATTGGAGGATATCTGTTCTGCTGACAACCCCAAATTTGGAATTTTCCTTTACTTTCACTCTTGGTGATAACAATAAACAGGACAAATATAGAGGGTGAATCTCCCTAATGAGGGCACAGACAGCGGTAACAACCCAACATGTTCTAATTTCTAATATCAGCAAAAGTGCAGCGCTAGATAATAAAGTCTGAAAGAAAGTCCACTAAAATCTATTCATAAAAACGTGCCAGATGACATGTAGAAAATCAATGGTGGCGGTCCGTGAAGAAAAGCAGAAATGCGCACTCACCAGAAGACAGATGTAAGTAAGCGGTATGTATCAAAGCCCATAGATCCTCAATCAAGGAGAGAACTGGTCCAGTCAAAGTGGGTTGATCTTCCCTTAAGGATGCAGTGCTAATCCAAAGCAGATCCAAAAGGTACTCCTAAAATGAAGTAACTGTGATCTCTCCTGAAGATGAATTTTTTTTTTTTTTTTTTTTTTACCCTAAACCATTAAATAAACCTGTGCCAGAGGGAGAGAGGTCTTTTATTTAATGGTTTATGGTAAAAAAAAAAAAACTCATCTTCAGGAGAGATCACAGTTACTTCATTTTAGGAGTACCTTTTTGCAGAGTCCTTTACTGAGAATTCAGGCCTTTACCAAGAAGAGGAAGACCCCCCCCTTTAAGCAGGAGACCCCTTTCGTCCATCCAGCTGTAGGAGACCTCTGGCTACCTGGATCTGCTTTGGATTAGCACTGCATCCTTAAGGGAAGATCAACTCACTTTGACCGGACCAGTTCTCTCCTTGATTGAGGATCTATGGGCTTTGATGCATACCTCTTACTTACATCTGTCTTCTGGTGAGTGCGCATTTCTGCTTTTCTTCACGGACCGCCACCATTGATTTTCTACTTGTCATCTGGTATGTTTTTATGAATAGACTTTAGTGGACTTTCTTTCAGACTTTATTATCTAGTGCTGCACTTTTGTTGATATTACTCTGTTTAAGTATTTTTTGGTTGGTTAGAGTGCTTAGCTGCTTTTTTGGATTAGCGCTCACTCTGTTATTATTATATACATAATGTTCTAATTTCTCTCCACTTTGCACAAAAAAATATTCTTCTGATGGATGAATCTTTCCTGCCAGCTATTGCATTCTGACAGATGGCACCTGCAGCTGTCAAAATAAGGAGTCATTTACATATGAGGTTGGGTGTTGCCCTCCAACCGTTACCCCCTTTAGCTGCAGAGGCAGCGATTGGGGGTGTACACAGCTACAGCCGCGATTCTTTCCTTTGCAGCCGTGGCAGGAGTTATACCCCACCCATCAATCGTGACCCTATCAAGTGAATGGGGCCAGTCTGCAATGCATGTTATTGTGGCATGTTACTACATGGTCCAAGGGGTTCAAGCGGTTGGTGAGAAGGTGAAACAATGCCTCCTTACTGCCTAAGGAGTATCTCTGAAGAGATATCCGTGTTCATAGAGCACCGCACATGTAAACGAGCCCTAGCCGAACAGTGACTGCATCTGATTGGCTGCCGTCACTGTTCACGCAACAATTTTTCACCCAGTACTTTTATCTTCAGATTGATGTTTGCAAGCAGGGTGGTGCTAGCAGGGCCACCCATGGATCGTATTTTGGCCAATTCAGCAGGAAACAGCTAAAATTCAATCCCTGTATGGCTGAAATGTTCAAGTTCAAGTACAAGCAGTGGCGTCCCGAGGCAGGTGCAGGAGGTGTGGCCCGCACCGGGTGACACCGACCGCACAGGGTGACACAGGACCCGCTCCAAGAAAAGGTAAGTTATAAAGCAAGTCGACGATCCCCGCAGGATGGATCCGATCCATCCTGTTGGGATCGTCAGCTTTCTTTACAACTTACTTTTTCGCGGAGCGGGTCCGGTGTTACCCCGTATAGGTTGCATGCCGATGATCCCCACAGGATGGATTGGATCTGCGGATTGGGGAGCATAATGGATCGGACTCCGATCCATTATGCTCAATCCGCAGATCTAATCCATTCTGCGGGGATCGTCGGAGGGGGTGTCACCAAGTGTTACCGCACCAGGTGACACCAACTCTAGGGACGCCTCTGAGTACAAGACACCCAGGCATTTCAGTTGTCTTGTCATGAAAATGTGCCTCTACAGACAAAGAAATAGGGAAAACAATGGGAGAAATTTACTAAAACTGGAGCACTCAGAATCTGGTGCGACTGTACATGGTAGCCAATCAACTTCTAGCTTCAGACTGTTAAATTAAGCTTTGACAATAAAACCTGGAAGATGATTGGTTTCTATGCACAGCTGCACCAGATTTTGCACTCTCCACTTTCAGCAAACCTCCCCCCATTGCATTCTTTGGTTATTTTAGCAGAAGAATTTAATGTTACTGAACCAAGTGCTTCCCTTAGTGTTCTAGCACGTGTGCTGGGGGCTTTCAGCGCCGCGTTGTGGTGTGCCAAGATGAGAATGGGTATCCAGCGGGTAACTGTGAAGAAAGAAGCAAACCAGCCGAACAACGGCCATGTGAATCAGGACCTTGCCCACAATGGGCTTTTGGCAACTGGGGAGAGGTAAGCTGCTTTTGCCAACTCTATTTAACTGCTTCAGTACTAACACTAGTAACTGACAACATAACAGTAATGATGATAATAATAGTAACTAACAGTAGTGACAATACTAACAGTCCCTTTATGGACCAGAGCATTTTTCACAATCAGCGATGGGCAGTGGGCAACTGTGAAGACACAAGTCAACCAGCCGAACAGCCATGTGAATCAGGACCTGGGCCACAATGGGCTTTTAGCAACGGGGGGGAGGTAAGCTACATTTGCCAACTCTCTTTAAAATGTATGTAAACCCAGGAACAAAAATTATATTGCAGACAAAAACTATTGCAATTTTGATGTGGTATCTGCATTCATTTTCTTTTCTGGAAGTACAGAAAGTACCTCTTGATCCTGAAGTACTGTGTCCTTGTAATTTCCAGTAAAACTGAACTGAAATCTCAAACAGTATTAGCTCAGCTATCTTCTGTGAACTACCAAGCAACTCCTC